CTCCAGTGAGTGGTCCCTCTCATGGGAGTCCATCCTACAAGAACTTCTTCAATATGTGTCCTTCCCACGGATGCAGTTCTTCACGAACTGCTCCAGCATGGGTCCCTCCCATCGGGTGCAGTCCTTCAGGAGCAGCCTGCTACAGCATGGGCTGCTTACGGGGTCACAAGTCCTGCCAGCAAACCTGTTCCAGCCTGGGCTCCTCTCTCCACAGGGCCACAGCTCCTGCCAGGAGCCTGCTAAGCATGGGCTGCTCATGGGGTCACAGCCTCCTTTGGGCATCCCCCTGCTCCAGCGTGGGGTCCTCCCTGGGCTGCAGGTGGGTCTCTGCTCCCCCGTGACCCTCCATGGCTGCAGGGGCACAGACGGCCTCACCATGGTCTGTACCACAGGCTGTCAGGGAATCTTTGCTCCAGCACCTGAAGCACCTCCTGCCCCTCCTTCTCCACTGACGTGGGTGTCTGCAAAGTTTTCACATATTCTCACTCCTCTCTCCCAGTTGCTGCGCAATTTTTTTTACTCTGTTAAGTATGGTCTCAGCTTTGGCCAGCAGCAGATCCATCTTGGAGCAGACTGGAACTGGCTCTGTCTGACATGGGGAAGCTTTTGGCATCTTCTCACAGAAGTCATTCCTGCAGCACTACCCCCAACCAAAACCTTTCCATGTGAACCCAGTAGATGTGAATTGTAGATGATAGGTTTTTAGATATTTATTGCATAATTAGAAATATTCTTTTAGGCCACTTGAAACCAAACAAACCTGGTTTAGAGCTTTACTGAATTTGAGAAGATACCCAGCTTCTGTAGTGCTGCTTCCTTAGTGCAGCCTATTAAGCTTAAAATCCAAGGAACCTCTGAGTATCTTGCACTTGTATGTTCTGTGTTTATGAAAACTCTGATTCTGCTAATAACAGCAACGACTAATACTGGTTTTACTGACAGCATGTCAGTAACTTTCAGCTATCTCCATTCATAAAACTGAGAATCCAATGCTTCCATTAAGGAATTTTACTACACCATTAAGGAATCTATTACAATGTTTTGCAAAAGTGGTGTGTTTCTCTTCAGTTTGCTGTGTGATTGGCTTTCAAATAGTCTAGCTGATGAATACTGCATGACCAGGAAGAAAATATTACTGGTGAAGAACATTTTGAAATAAGGTGGTAGGTAGATATTCAAGTTTGCTGCAATTACTTATTATTCAAAATTTACAGCGTTGAACTAGTTCTGTCATTACTCAATAGATGATCAGTAGGAGAAATGAGAGGGCGAGGAGGGGGGAGGAACATGTGTTGAAATGTAATGATGATCAAATACCTGACATATTTTCTTTTGTATTAGGTTTTATGGGCAGGATATTCGAGCTAGTGCCATCTTGCTTGGTGATGTGCCTTTTCCTGCTCAAGCAGAAGATCTTTATCAAACTCTAGCATCCTTCACTGAAGTATATGAAAATGAAGAGCAGAAAAATAATCCGGGAAAATCTGTAAGGGAACAAAGAAGGGTTTGTGCACCTCTCTTTCACGTAGGCTTTTTCTGTTCCTGAACTGTTTCTAATGGGTGGTAATGTTGATGTTCATGTGGCATTCTTAAGTTCCCTATTGGATGCTTAAAGATGTAACACATTGCAGACAGAGCATGTGAGTAACACATTTGTTCAGGTATTGCCCTGGTAGGCTCTTTTGAATAAGAATGTTGCTGGTTTTGCTTTGTGCCCTCCAGAATAACAAAATATATCCTTGTTCTTACAATAGTGCATAACCAAATCTGAAGTGGTGATCAGAAAAATTTATTCAACTATTTCTAGTCAGGATAATCTGTGAATAATGAGCATGCCAGGTTTGATGTGGATACTCGTAATTTTTCTTCTTTTTCTGTCTTCCATTCAAACAATCACATTTACAGTACAATACTAAGAATTGTAGAAGATGTTTTCTTATGGATGTCTGCTGATAGACAATCATTTATCTTTCATCTTTGTTAAATCCATGTTGAATTACTTTAGTTGTAATGTTATATAGTTACTATGTCACAAGTTCTTTAGTGTGCTTCTGGAGTTCATACAATTTCAGTGGAGAGTGTTATTTTTTCAGTGTAACTTGACATGCCTTTATACTCTGAAGTTGCAGTCTTCTTCCAGGGGTGATGCAACTTTTAAAAATAATTTGTGCATTTTAGGTAAATGACCCACCTGCTAGACCATCATTGAGACCAGAGCCACCCAAACCCACTGTTAGGCCAACACCACCAGGTTAGGAAACTTTCTGGTAATGATGCATGTATTCTGTCTATAAAATTAAAGCTAATGAATCTTATGCAATTATTATAGTAGTAGCTGTCTCTGTAAAAGTATTTTGTTAGTACTCTTCCTTGGGCAAACACCAAAAGCATGTTGCAGTAGTGCCATTAGCAATAAAAGGTTTTTTTCGTTTTATATTAACAAACCTTTTCTCTTTGAAGGATTTGCTATAGAAGTGGTGTCTGTAGAGTTACACAAGCATTTAATAGTTCAAAGGAAACATTCATGGTTATTGGATACATAGATGTCCCATGGTATGATGAAACTTCTTTTTACAAAGAACAGTCCTACTGGAAACTGCAAGTCCTAATTCTAGAAACTTCTGGTTTCTCTTTTAGGTTGTTGTTATCTTTTAATAGGTAAAGGTCTTAAAATAGAGTAGAGTCGTCAGAGTTTTGGCTCCATAACAGTTTGTCTACCAAAGTGCTGTCATGGCAAACAAGGCTCTACTGTGCAGCTCCTGTTGTTAACTTGATTTATTTATCTGCCCAAGGATATAAAGCAAAGTCTGTATATTTTTCTTCGTTACTGCTCCTTAGATAACTACAATCATTTTGTAACTATTGAATTTGTATTGCAAAAGCAATATTTGAAATATAATAATATATCTTAGTATATTCTATAACTTGCTATTTAAATTTCTCTTTCAGCTAAAAAGAATACAAACAAGCTTTATCCTGAACTTCCAAATGATTACGCCTCTGTGGGTAAGTACTAAGCTTACCAGTATTTTCTTAATGCAGTATGGATTCTGAGAAGTTCTAAGAATATTTTGGAAGACATCTAACAATATCTGGCCATCCATATAATAATTTATTATCCATGTCTTAAAATGAGATTCAGGTCCTGTATGTTCTCCTGAAAACATTTTGTAAGTGTGACTCTTACTCCCTGGCTTTACATTCAGGCAACGATGTTCGTTTCTGAACAGCAAAAGTGCTTTTGCTTTATTCAGTGAGCTTGAAAAATGCACTGGAAGTAGTAAAACTGTTTTACGTTACCACCTAATTGAAGTGAATAAGAAAGTTGATATAACAACCTTGTGTCCAAGTCCTTATGCAAGATACTGTAACTCCTGTTTTAATTAAAAAGTGCTTCCACATGTCATATCTGATTATGCTGGCATAAACACAGATTTCCGTTGCGGTTATATTCCTTGAGGTTTCTGAATTGAGTTGAGATAACTCTGCATTATACTAAAAAGATACTGGTTAGTCGATCTATTCTGATTCCGTTAAGCTTAAAACAGCTTTAACAGGAGAATCTTACTCTATAGTATTTGCAATGTGACTCTGGAACTGTGAGACCCATCATCTGGAAACTTGTGATCTGTTAGGAAAAAGTTTATTATCAAAGTGGCTATGTTCACATGTGGTGTGCGCCACTTGAAAATAAAATGAAACAAAAGATACTTTTTTTACTTTTGAAAATGGAGGTAAAATCAAGCTTGATAGATAGATCACAGTGAAAAGTCTATTTCTCCAGAGGACTCTGACTTAACACAATATTTAAACTGCTGTCTGAATGCCAAAATCATGACTGTATTTGTCATTTCTTGGTTCAGGTAATTAGAGATTTTCACTAAAATTAAGGTAACTATACGTGTCATTCTTTACATTCTCCTTCATATCTTCTCTTCACACATGCTGTTGAATGTGTGTGTGTGTGTTAAGGGGACCAACACAGGAGGATCTTTAGCTCTGCTATTGATGTGATTTCTGCAGAACAGAGACTGACTGAGACTCAGAATTTGCTATGGGGCTGTAGGACTTCTACCAGGAAAAGTATCATAGAATGGTTTGGGTTGGAAGGGACCTTCAAGACCATCTAGTTCCAACCCCCCTGCCATGGGCAGGGACACCTTCCACTAGACCAGGTTGCTCAAAGCCTCATCCAGCCTGGCCTTGAACACTTCCAGGGATGGGGCATCCACAGCTTCTCTGGGCAACCTGTTCCAGTGCCTCACCACCCTCTCCATGAAGAACTTCCTGATGTCCAATCTAAACCTCCCCACTTTCAATTTAAACCCGTTACCCCTTGTCCTATCACTACAGCCCCTTGTAAAAAGTCCCCCCCAGCTTCCTTGTAGCCCCTTCAGGTACTGGAAGGCTGCAATAAGGTCTCCCCGGAGCCTTCTCTTCTCCAGGCTGAACAAGCCCAATTCTCTCAGCCTTTCTTGATAGGAGAGGTGCTCCAGCCCTCTGAGGAGGGAAGGGGAGGAGGGGAGAGGTTGGCATTGTGTTGTGAGGTTTTGTAACAGTTACAAAGTAGGAGAAAGGTTGAAACATTAATTCTTGTCATTAAATGGAAGAAGAGCTAGACTTGTGGATGCAACGTTTTTAATTATTTTATGTGGACCTGAATTATCTAGATAGGTAATGTAATATAACCTGTTTCAAATGCAAGAAGAATGTTAAATGGAAAACATGTTTTTCTAAACTGATAATGTGATACTTGAACTCAGATGTACATGGATTGTTTTCATGTAACTGAATAATACTTAAGGTAATGCATTTAGTTGTAAAATGAGGTTCATTAATGTTTTAAAATGTTTCCAGAAACTTGGAAATACCACACATGTTATTTAAAAAAAAAAAAAAAAATTAAAATTTGAAAAAAAATTGCAGAATCTTTTTACACTTCTGGGAGAAAAAAAAAACACAAACCAACTGCCATCTAATATAGTTACAGTGAAATATGAAGTTTCTAGAGTGGTAGAGATTTTTCTGGAGACTGTTCAGGTAAAGAAATTAGGCTTGCTTATGAGTATGAAAGTTCATGCCTTACTGGAATTAGAGATTTGGAGCTTTACTTTTCTACTTGTTCCCTCTATGTTGTACAGTCTAATAAAAGGGCAGACTGGTTATTCTAGGCATTATTGCATGATCTAGCTTCATTTTACCTTGATGGAAGGTTTCTGCAGAGTTCTGTACAACATCTTTCACATAAATGACCCATAGTTCTTTAGTGGACTGCTTGGACATTGTAGGCTCAGGAGTTTATTTTATTAGCACAGTTTTTCTTTTATAATATGGTTGATAGTCACACTGGAATATCTACTCGTAGATATTAGTTTTTCATTAGTATTGTGTTTTCTACTTATTCCTACTTGAGGTTCTGCCATGGATCAGCAAGTAACCAAAACTGTAGATAAGTGGTTACTTGACTTACCTGTCTGTTCTCCTAACTTGCGGCTAGATACTATACAATTCTGAAAACGTTGCAATGATGTGGTTTCCCATTTCAACTGGTAGCAGTAGGAGTAGCTATCTGCTGGTAAAAGCAGGAGCTGGCATAAAGTGAATGTTGGTGAGGACTGAGTCATTAACAGGCAATTAGTTCAGAATCAGAAGTCAGATTTTTTTTTTTCCCCACTTTTTCTTCAGCTCAGCTAATCAGAGAAGAACTGGTTCACGTATTTGGAAGAAAATCACTTGCCAAGTGATGTTAAAATTGCCAAGATGCTGGAACAATCAGGAAACAGATTTGATGAAGTAAAGGGAATGAAAATGCAAAATATCTTTTCCTTCCAAACACTGTCTTTTACAGTTATCAAAAATCATCATGGTCTTGAGTTCTCTGGCCTTGAAAATGTACTTTCTTAGTGTTTCATTCTGCCCATGCTCAGTAATATGTTCCCTTTCAGGGAAGTTTATCAACAAAAGGGTGGGTCTGTGGCTACAGTACAATGAGCATTTTGTCTAAAACAGAAAAAAACCTTCTCTTTATAACAGTATAAGTATTTTTGTCATAATTAGGAGAAAGTATTGATGCTGTCTGCATCTTGTATTCAGCCATACGATTTGCTTAAGAAACTCGTAAGAATTTGTGCCTATAAAGCCTAAGTGTTCAAGGTTTGGGTTTTTAGTTTTCCTTCAGACATGCTGGCTTTCTTACCTTCCATGAGTACTTGAACTACATTTTTTTTCAATTTAATTTTATCTTGGGGAAAATGTGTACCTTCTTTTGATTTTTTTTTTAACTGAATAAATTACTTACCTGCAGACATTGAACCCTTAAGACTGTTGTGCATAAAATCATCACACTCCCTTACATTAGACCTTGAAAAAATCAAAATATGAATTGTAGCTGTTTTTTTCAGCAGAAACCTTTCGATTTGAAAATAATACGAAAATACTAACTGTTTGTTACTGCCCCATTAGGCATATGTTTGTATTCTTACATACTGAAAGAAGTGCTATATCAAGCCTGCAGATGAAGATGCAGAGGCAGATGAGAAATTTGTCACTGTTAAGGAGCTAAAAACCCCCTCCTATCTTCAGTGATGATTTGAGTGATTTGTAAACCTCATTATTAAAAATTGATGCCTTCCCATATGAATTTGTCTGCAGCTTTCAGACAATGATGTTTGTTTGATGTTTTTTCACAATATTAAAGAGCCCTTTCCTACCCAGAGGGTTGTTTTTTGTTCCCCTCTTGTTCCCTTTGAGACACTTGTACTGTAATCAAATCACCTTTTGATCTTCCTTGATCTTTCCTTAATTGGTAAACAGATTGATGAGCTCTTTGTTGCAAGTATTTTTCTCTCTCCTCTCAGATTTTAAATACTGCTACAAACTGCAAAATCTGAGCTCACAGAAATCAGTAAGATTTGAGCTCCTAAAAGCTGTAATGAATTTGGACTAAACTCCAATTCTTATTTATTTATTTCAATCTTCTTACATATTGCTACTGTATGTTAAAACAGATGAGACAGTATCAACTCTTTCTGGTCAGGTGGTACCATGAGCTTGTGGTAAACTCAATTTGTTAACTAAATGCCACTTGGAGATGCTGCTTTTCATGGTTACAGTTGTACACGAATCAAGTCTGGCCCAATTCTCTATAATTCAAAGTTGATCTCAGTGTTTAAGTAATCTATGAATGCCAGATGGTTCAGTAGATCTGTGAAAATCTGTTTGCTGTGAGAATTCCAAGAGAGATTTTCATGCCTCCTGAAGTGTATTTTGTCAGGGAAACTTGAGGGGTCTATTCTTTCCTTTTTTTTTTTTTTTTTGTTAGTGTATTATGGGGTTTTTTTTGTGACCAGTTAAAAGCATGTTAACTAAACCAACACAGCTGTATGGATTAAGAATTCATAGACTGCTTCTGAGGTAAAACCCTTTAAAAAAAAAAAA